TTTAACCGTGCCTTAGTGAGTCACAGCTGAAGATGCCAAATTCAGGACGAACTGCTGAGAAATAGGGCAAACACAACCCAAAACTGGTGGTGTAGTTTGACTTCTATTTTGGGCGGGGAGAGCAGGGGCCAGTGGGGCTCGAGCCACCTCCACACAGTGGAGTCCAGGGAGGGAGTGCCACCTTCACCCCCTGACTCACCTCAGCAGGCCACCCAATCTGTCTGGGTTGGGGTGGGGGTGGGGGAGTGCAACCAAAAATTATAACTCACGGGAGGGGGGCTTAGCTCAAAAAGTTTGAAAACAGCTTAGGGGGTAGGGACGGGGTAGCTGGGACTGTGGTTAGGGGCTGTGGCTGTGTGGGGATGGTTAGGGGCTGTGTGCAGATGGGGTAGCTCAAGGTGCAGGAACGGGGTAGCTTGGGCTTTGTGTACATGGGGTGGCTATAGGAGCAGGGAAGGGGGTGGCTAGGGGTTGTATGCAGGCAGGGTGTAGTTCAGGTTGCAGGGAGAAGGGTAGCTGGGGCTGTGTGCAGGCAGGAGGGTAGCTCAGTGTGCAGGGAGGGGGTAGCTGGGGCTATGTGTTAGGAGGGCTCCACTGCGGCCCCTGTTTCCAGAGGGGTCTACCAGCCATGGAGCTGGGTCTCCCCACCCCAGGGGGCTCTTACCAGCTGCCTCTGAGGGAGCAAAGGGGCTGGGAGCTGAGGAGCAACTTCAATCTGGGGCACCAGCAGGAGATGAGGGAATGCCTCATCTGCCTGTTCCATGGCACCAGCCAGAGCAGCAGCTGCCCTGCACTGTCCAGCTCCCACTTCCCGCCTCCGACCTAGGAGAGGAGATGGGGAGGAGGTGTGGAGCTGCCCCCAGCACTGCCTTGTTCTTGTGCTGCAGTTTTGGTGGGGGGCAATGCCCTCCATGTCCCCAACGCTGCCCATGGGCTCAGCTTGGGGTTCTGGGCTTCAGTCCCGTGCCTCCTGGCTTCAGCCCCACGGAGGGCGCTGGGGATCAGGGCTTCAACCCCATGCCTCCCGGCTTCAGCCCCGTGGGGGTGCCAGGGATCAGGGCTTCAGCTGCAGGGCTTCACAGCCCCCTTGAAAGGGCTCATGGACCCCCAGGGGGCCACGGACCCCCGGTTGAAAACTGCTGGGTTAGATAAAAAGTAAAACAAATTTATTCTATCAAAAGAGATGTTTTAAGTGAGTTCAAGTATAAGAGATAAAGATAAAGGGTTACAAACAAAAAAAGTTAAAACACTCTTTTTACTGCCTAAGACATAACTTAACAAGCTACAGTCTTTAAGGAAGTTTCCTCACCAGTCTTCCTTTTCCAGCAATGGCTGACTAGCACTTAGTCAGGATCCTCACAGAACCCAAGATGCTTGTCTCCTCAGGTGAAGGATAACTTAAGGGTTCTCTGCCCATGTCTTTATAGTCCAGTAAACCTTTAAAAGTCTCTCTCTCAAAGTTCATTGTCCCTGTTTCAAAAGATAGGAAGGCTTCCTGAGGATGCAGTCTTCATCCCCTCTTCTCCCCTTGAGATTGTTAAATGATTACAGCCATGCAAATCTGCGGATATCCGTGGACCACGTTTGCGGATTGGATGCGGATACAAATTTTGTATCTACACAGGGCTCTATAAATGATCACATTTTCCCCTCTTGCCCTCCTGATGGCTTTGTTTGCCTGGCATGCAAATGTTCCTTTCTTTGTCTTTGGTCACATCTTTCTCAATTTACATGGGAGACACATTCAGGCAGCCGGAACCACATTCCTTTGGCTGGAAAAAACCCGTTGATCAAATCCCTCTGACATGCATGGTTTAAATGCATTTCAGTCATACACATCCATGTAATCCTTTTGTGGGTTGATCATTAATATTCTTGTGTGATGTATGTATGATAAATGAGTTTAGTTTTCCAGTGACACATTACATAACATCTAGGGATGTAAATACCATTTAAAAAGTTAACCGTTTATTTAAAAATATTTAATTTAAACGGTTTACCGTTTAAGCGGCTGGGGCTGCTCCTGCTGGCCGGTGCAGCTGTTAATGGTTAAGGTGGGTTAACCAGTAAGACTCATGTTTACTGGTTAACATTTTACATCTCTAATGGCATCTTTGAGATACAGATTATAACAGTGGTGAATTGGGGTACACTGAATTGGTCAGGTCAGCTGAAACTCACAGTTAGATACCAGGGAGCTCCTTTCCTTCTGGCATAATGATGCTTTTAGGGTTGCAATGGCTCCTTAGTCTACTTGTGCTTTGTCATGCAGATCTTTAACGAGTAGCTCTCTGAATCTCCCTGCTCTGTGTTTACTGTCTGTAACCCAGACAGCACAATAATACCTAGATCTTATGTAGCTCTTTTCACAAGTAGATCTCAAAGCATTTTACATTTGAGGAAAAGGTTTAGCCATTATGCTGGGCGCTGACATCTCAAATTTGGATGCAGATTTTTGCATAGTCCTCAAATGTATTGTGTCCTCACAGGTTTCAGAGTAACAGCCGTGTTAGTCTGTATTCGCAAAAAGAAAAGGAGTACTTGTGGCACCTTAGAGACTAACCAATTTATTTGAGCATAAGCTTTCGTGAGCTAATGATGAAGTGAGCTGTAGCTCACGAAAGCTTATGCTCAAATAAATTGGTTAGTCTCTAAGGTGCCACAAGTACTCCTTTTCTTTTTGTGTCCTCACAGACGTTCCAAACCTGGAATTTGGAGTAGTGCAGTAAAATGTCATCAATACTGGTGGGACTCCTGTGTCATCTTAGAAGGCAGGAATCCTGCAGCTTTACTACATCTTCAGATAAATAGATTAGCTCCTTTTTTCTTTAAATGCAAAAAATTACATTGCTACAAGAAGTCAGGAAAATGTGGTCATGATTCCTACAGCAATTTGTTTGCATTGCTCATTAGTGCTAAAACTGTGTTGCACTATGGATAGGAGGAACAGCCTTGTAATTAAACATAGGACTGGAAGCCAGGAGAACTTAATTCTTTTCACTGTTGCTACAGGTTTCCTCTGTGACTCTGGGTTATTTATTAATCTGTCTGTCTTCCCATCTGTAAAATGTGGAATAATACTTCCTTAATCTGTGGGCTGCTGAGACTAAATTAATGTTTGTAAAGCATATTGAAATCTTTGAATAAAAAGCACTATAGAAGAAAATTTATTTAGCGCTTAAATAACAAGATGATAGGCACCTTAGGAATTCCTTAGATAAGGCCTTAAAATTAGCATCATATTCAGTGGTATGTGCAATCCTGTCTATGTCCAAAAGGCAGATTTATGGTTTCAGAAGGAAATATAATAATCAATGTCTTGGTTTTTGTTTAGCTTTTTTGTTTATAAAGGATTAAAAAGCCCACATGGCAGTGTCGTTTTGAGAATTCCAATTTTGAACGTTTTTCATTACCAGTAATTTAAGAAGTTGTAACACTAGAAGGGACCGTTATGACCCTTTAGTCTGATTGACTGTATAACACAGAGCATAGAATTTCACCCAGTGTCTCCAACAGCTAGTGGTTGAACTAAATAATATGTTTTAGAAAGAAGCTTATATTTTAGAAATACACTTGCCAACGATTATACTACTGTTATTATTAACTGCTGCACTCTGGTCCATAGAAGACACAAATATCAACATGGTGCTTGCCCGAGAGAGCTTGTAATCTAGAAAGCATCTTTAGAAAGACAAAGCACCCTGGGACACTCAGAGGGGAGGTGTTCATTTAATTTTTTCTTCCTAATGTAATATTTTTTCTCCCCCAACCACCCCTTTGTATCTTGGACGGAACTTAAGTGAAACGAGACTGTGAGGTTACAGCTGGCACACTGAGATTGAAGGAGGGCTTTATACAAGAAGGCGCACAAATATAAGTGGGAGGGAGAAAGAAAGAAAAAGAGATTGCTGAGGCATGTGCCACTGTGCTAAGGATGGACTAAAACAGTGGTTTTCAAACTGCTGGGTCGCGGAACGTAAGGCACTGCGTTGCAGCAGCTCTGGTCAGCACCACCGACCGGGCCGTTAAAAGTCCAGTCGGTGGTGCTGTCCGGCTAAGGCAGGCTAGTCCCTACCTGTTCTGACACCACGCTGCGCCCCGGAAGCAGTCAGCAGCAGGTCTGGCTCCTAGGCAGGGGGGGCCATGGGGCTCTGCGTTGCCCCCACCCCGAGCACCGGCTCCCAGCCAATGGGAGTGGGGGTTAGGGGACGGTGCCTGTGGGTGAGAGCCGTGTGGAGCTGCTTGCATGTCTCCGCTTAGGAGAAGGACCTGCTGCTGGCTGCTTCTGGGGCGCAACGCGGTCCGCGGTGCAAGGAGAGTCAGGAAGCCTGCCTTAGCACCCCCATGGCACCACTGACTGGGAGCCGCCCGAGGTAAGTCCTGCCCCAAACCCCTGCCCCAGCCCTGAGCCTGCCCCCCAAACTCAGAGCCCCTCCTGCACCCCAAACCCCTCATCTCTGGTCCAACCTTGCAGCCCTCACTACCGCACCCCAACCCTCTGCCCCAGCCCTGAGCCCCTCCCAAACCCCTCTGCCCCAGCTCCGTTGGGTCATCGGCATAAACAGTTTTCTTCAACTGTGTCGCCAGGAAAAAAAGTTTGAAAACCACTGGACTAAAAGATCTGACATTTATAAATTGGGAAGTAGTTGTGCAGTGTCTTGAAGGTGAGGGCAAAAGATTGCAACTTGCAAAAGTATAGCTTATGATATGCAACTACTTTAAAAGTCGTGTTTTCCAAAAATCCTAGCTGTTTATTCCTATATACTCCACTTAATTGAAAATGTTTTTAATCTAGTAAATATTGCAGAAGATGTGTACACATTCACTATATTTACTAATCACTGATAAATTGACTTTTGGTGAAATTTAGTTTCCTTATTTGCTGATGGTAACGTATGGTTGTACAAAATGTCTTTGATTTCACTGTGATGATTTAAAATACTGAATGTTAATCTTCATATAATATTGCTAATTCAGCTTTCTTCTCTCTCCAATCTTAGAAATGGGTTGAATTTTTTCTTTAAACTACTCGCATGGGTTTACACGGGTTCTGCAAGCATGTTTTCAGAAGCTATACATTCTTTAGCAGACACTTGCAATCAGGTGAGTAGTGCTTCCATTGCCCTCGTTTAAGTTAGTGATTTGTAGTTAGCTTCCATGGAGGAATGCAGACCCTGGAAACAGTTGTGTTGGGAGCAGATAGGAACATAGCTCTCAATTCAGAAATCAAGTGGCTGTCTCTTGGTGATGGCTGATTAGGATGAAAAACTACAGGGCACATGACAAGTACAGGGGAAGTAGCACATTGCGTTTAGTTTTGTGAGGTGAGTTGGGGTGTCAGAATACTGCTCTGAGCTTTGTTGGAGCATGTTGTGTAAAATAACACAAAGTTGGAGAGAGAGGCTGGAGACCAAAAATTGACCCTTCAAGTTCTCTCTGGCTTTTAGTTTACATTGATGTTGTTAATTTGTCGTTTCCATTTTTAGAATTTGCCACAGACTGGCTCTAAACTGTTGCATAGTGCAGTGGTTTTGCCTCTTTTAACACTTGTAGTGGACATTTTCTATATTAATTTCTGTGGTTTTGCATGTTTTTCATTTGAAAGTAAAATAGTAGGTAACACTTCAGTAAGAATAGCTTTGGATTTCAACAATTTCAGCAGCCATTTTAACAGTGTCAAAGCTGATCAGTCTAAGAATTTACTTACCTAGACTGTTGTCACATCTGGGAGAGCATGCCTTCAAATGTCAGTTAACTTATTACTAAATAATTCCTGCCTTGCAAAGTAAGGCATTCATATTAGAGACAATAACAATGCTGTTATGACTAATCTATGATAAGGGTACATTTGTTTATAGTATGGGCATGCAATTTTTTGTAATATGTGAATATATTTTTTGGCTGCAATATAAAAGTGAATTCATTTAAAGAAGAAAGGATAACTAAATAGTTTCTGTCAAATTGCATGGTGATTTAGGCATAACCTTGTCAGAGAATGATGGGGGCACATAGCAAGCAGCCCTGGGTTGGTGATCCTTCCAGGAACAATGTGAGTTCTGAGTACAACATTAACATTACTTTACTTGGCACTTTTACTCAGAACCTAATGGTCTCTCCTTGTATTGCTGTAGCCCGCTTGTCTCTTAATATTATCCTGTGTTTTGATGTACATAATTTGATACACAATTTGTAAATTAATAGCAGAATTGTTAATTAATGAATTCATACTGACACTTTAACCTAAAACCTTGGAAATGGAGAGAAACTGGAGATTCTGTAGCTATCTTGTTTCTGATTAGTGAAGTTTGGACTAATACTTCTGTTGGTGTTTCAGTTTTTGTCTATATTTCAGATATGTAGAAGTATTGTTCTTCCTTTCTAAATTAATAATTTCCCATATCATCGACCATGTATCAGGTGAGGTGGTATGGTTCAGTGGAGAAGATACAGGATAGGACTCAGGAGACCTGGGTTCTATTCCTGGCTCTGCCACTGACCTGCTGGGTGGCCACGGGCAAGTTGCTTCACCTCTCTGTGCCTCTGTCCACTCAGGTGGAGGCTCATCAGCTATGCCAGACAGTCCACCTAGGACAGTGGTTCTCAACCACTCCTGGGGGTACGTGGAGGTTTTCCGGGGGTACATCAAGTCATCTAGATATTTGCCTAGTTTTACAACAGGCTTCATAAAAAGCATGAGCAAAGTCCGTACAAACTAAAATTTCATACAGACAGTGACTTGTTTATATGCTCTATATACACTGAAATGTAAGTACAGTATTTATATTCCAGTTGATTTATTTTATAATATGGTAAAAGTGAGAACGAAAGCAATTTTTAAAGTAATAGTGTGCTGTGACACTTTTTTTCTATTTTTACGTCTGATTTTGTAAGCAAGTAGTTTTTAACTTAGGTGTACATTGGGGGCATGCAAGACAAATGAGACTCCTGAAAGAGGTACAGTAGACTGGAAAGGAGGAGAGCTCCTGATCTAGGAGAAGGAGAACTCCGATTTCAAACCAAAGTAATCAGGCCTGGCCAGCCAGTTTTAAGTGTTTTGCTAATCATACATACTTAGGGCCCTACCAAATTCATGGTCCAATTTGGTCAATTTCAAGGCCGGGTTTTAAAGTTAGTCAGTTTCATGTTTTCAGATGTTTACATCTGAAATTTCATGTTGTAACCATGGGGGTCCTGACCCGAAAGGCGGTAAGGGTTAGGGGATTGCAAAGCTATTGTAGGGGAGTTTGGGATTGCCACCCTTAATTCTGCCCTGCTTCTGGCAAGGGTGCTGTCTTCAGAGCTGGGCAGCCAGAAAGGAAGGCTACTGGCCGGACCCTAGCTCTAAAGTTCGTGCCATGTCAGCAGCAGCGCAGAAGTGAGGGTCGCAAGGTATTGAGGGGGTGGGTTATATCATATGTCCGTTTTTCCTGGCAGTCTCTTGCCCCAATGTGGGGCTGACAGCTGGAGCCGCAGCCGCTGCGTGTGCAGGTGGGGTGATAGCTGGAGCTGTGGAGCTTCCTGCAGCCAGGGAAAGTTCCCAAAGGTGCATCTGACCCACCCAGGGAGCAGCCCCTGCAGTGGGAGAGGAAGTCTTATCCGTTCCCATCCCCAGTCTGGACTAGCAGCTGAAGCCCTGCACAGGGTAGAAGTCCCTGGCTGGGTACCAGATTTCACAGGTGATATCAAATTTCACAGTCTGTGGCATGTTTTTCACAGCCATGAATTTGGTAGGACCCTACACATGCTCTATAGGTCAGCATTGCTGACCCTGACTAATGGGGAAAGGGAAAGAAGAAGACAGTAGATCATGTTTCCTCCTCATATCTTAGCCTGTTTTTTTCCTTTGGTCTAAGTCCCATCACATTTCACTTCTTGACTCCTTTTCCCATTTACATGGGGTTAGAGGTGCCCACAGTTCTTTGCTATTCCTTCTGGCATGGGTTTGTAGGTCTTGGTGTTCGAGTTCTTTTCTCTTCACACTTCTCTTAACAGAGAAGTATCGTCAGTCTTCCATGTCCTTTGTTGCTGTCATTGTCTTCCCATGCTTTCTTTTCTGGTCATTCTTCTCCCATTTTTATCACATGTCCAGCCTACTTCAAACTTGTTCTCTTCAGCCTATCTATTGCTGAAAGTCTCACGTTCATCTTCCTCCTAGTTTTCTAAGTAATAAAGTAAAATTGCATTTAAAAAAAGTTAAAAGAATGTTAAAGATGCAACATTAAGCACTCAAAAGTTAGGAAATACCAGAATTAAGGATGCCCATACAACCTTAATTTGGCCACTTTGTCAGTATATGTTATAAAAGTCTTATCCAGCATCACATAGGAAGAGCCAGGAATAGAATCCGGTTCTCTAGAATCTGAGTTTAATGCCTTAAACATAAGAGAGGCAACCTTCTGCCTCACTCATTGTCCGTCCTGTACAATGAATATTAGTCCTGTAGAACAAATAGGATATGATAATGTAATTGAAGGCTATTTCATAATGCATACATATTAAGGGGGGCCAAATCAAGGATACTTGGGTAACCATAATTCTGGCATTTTCTATCTTTTGAGTGTCTGACTTTGCAACCTTAATTCTTTTTAATGTAATATTTCAAATGTAATTTGCTAGGCTTTTTTAAAAGGAAGCAGAAATAAAGAAGTTGTATTGTGTGGAACAATGCTGAGCACCTTCATGGGTCATCAGCAGGATTTATGAATTCAAGACGCTTAGATCTGCAGTGCCACAAGTACTCCTGTTCTTTTTGAATATAGACCTCTACCTCTCTAGCTAAAAGAGTAACTGATAGCAGTAGAAGGCTGTTATCCGCAATGTGGCTCAGTCACCAGAAGGGGGTGTGACAAATTTTCCTTTCTTACCCTGCTAGATAGCAGAGGAGTGTTGGGAATCTGGTGTCTTGGATTCTGTTACTGGATCTGGATGGGATAGTGACTACATACAGCACAGCTAAGCACATAGATTTGGTGCATTTGTTCTGAAAGGCAGTGTGGCAAAGTGAATGGGAGCTGGATCTGCCATATTAGAGAACTGGTCCTTTTATGCTATTCCACTGATGTGTAGGGGCCAGAAAAGGGGCAGAGTAGCTCCAGGGAGAATTCTTCTAGCGTAGAAGCAGTATAGAGCTGCTGTGTATGCTTCCTCTACGTTGTCCCCCTTGCAGCCTCACTTGTAGGATATTTCAGAGATAAGCATGTATTACGGGGGGAGTGACTGGAACCCTCCGACAATTCTGGTCTATACTGCAGAGAGGTCCGTGGATAACCCATGATTTGAGGTTGCCATAAATTATTAGAGCAGCCTCGAGGGTCTTCTCTAACTGACTCTGAAGGCCACACTGTCTCTGAGACCAGCCAAAAATTAGTGATGCAAAAAGTGTCTTAAAATGATCTTTGCCACCCTACCAGCTCAGGTTGTGCCTTGTGTGTGGCATTACTGTGGAGAGGTGCAGGATAGAATCTTCCCCCTAGGCTGTATTTCCAGTTCTGCCAGAAGTGACCTTGTGCAGCCTTTTCATGTACTCCATTTGTAAAATGGGAATGATACTACCTGCTCTGCTGTTTAATATTTAAAGACATGTATGGAAATAGCTTTACAGACAAGACCTTACAGATGACTTTATCAAAGTAGGTCAATTTTAAGGCCAAACAACTTTGACAGTTTGCCTTTAATGGTATTCTTTACCAATATATATGCAGGAAAACATTTCACATTTTAATTGGGAAATTATCAAGAAAAGTTAAATATTTATCCCATTGGAGATGTCTTTTTTGTTCAGGTATTTATATGTGAGTTGTATATATGGATAAAGCACACTGAGATTTTAATCCTGCAAAGATATAGCATGTGCTTAAACACCCATTAATATGATTAAGTGCATGTCTACACTTACTGGGGATCGACACCGGGGGTCAATTTAGTGGGGCTAGTGAAGACCTGCTAAATCGACTGCAGATCGCTCTCCTGTCGACTCCAATACTCCACCGGAATGAGAAGCGAAAGGTAAATCGACGGGAGAGTGTCTTGTGTCAACCCAGCATAGCATAGACACCGCAGTAAATTGGCCTAAATTATTCACGTAGCTGGAGTTGCGTAAGGTCGACTTACCCTCGTAGTATAGACAAGGCCTAAGACTACTCATGTGATTAAGGTTAAGCACAAGCCTAAATCTTTGCAGTATCAGGCTGGATTTATAAAAGACTGCACCATCAGATTGAATCCATTCTAAATGATCTATCAGAAACGTATCAACTCAGATAATCCTTTTTTTCCAGGTTAGGCACAGACAGTATATTTTTATTTTTTCCAGTGTGGTGACTTGTTACAACTAAATGTATACCTAGGAAGTTGAAATGTAAATGTAGGCTATTTTAATTTCAGTTTGCCTTGAACATAATGGAGATGAGTATACTTATTGCTATAGTTTATTCATAAACTTCTGTTCGGACAGTTTTTTTTTGTTTTTTTTTTTAGATTAAACAGCCTTTGTTTCCTGATTACACCCAAGTGGAGAATGCTACAAAAATATTTATACTACTATATTAAACATGTTCTTAACTTCTGTTTAAATTGTTGCTTTAAACTTCTTGCAGCTAGAACTAATCAGATTTATGTGAATTAGTTTTGGATGACATTGTCCTGTCTGGGAGTGGATGTTTCTTGTGAAATTACTGTAATTTGAGCTAATGTGTTTTTGTTTCTAATGCTACATATGAAAAATCAGCAAGTTGGATCTAATTTTATTTAATCATATTCTTTAAAGTTAGAACTAGTCTCAAAGTTTTTAAGACTTCCTACAGATGTGTTTTTCCTTTGCATTATGCAGGCTTTGCTAGCATTGGGCATCAGTCAGTCTGCAAGGACACCAGATCCTAGTCATCCGTAAGGCCATTGTCTTTACTGAATGTATCTTGTGGAATAAATAATTACGTTTCAATAATTATATATGGGCTTAAAATCTTTTATTTCTTGTGTGCAGATCCTCTTTTTATTTAAAGGATCTGTTGTAGTTTCTGAATAGGAGATGAACCATAGTTTTTTTTCCTTTTTGTTCCACCATATTAATCCAGACAACTTGAATTATTTTAAGTAAAATAGTGGTACTTGTATGTATATCCAGTGTTTTCATTTTTTCTAAACTGAAATGAATAACTTCCAGTTTTACAGTAGAAGTAATAGGAAGCCACATTTTTCTTACCAAATTTCAAGAGTTCTAAATGGTCATGACTTGGCATGTTGTTTTGACATTGTAAGCTTTGAAACTTGTATTTCATTTTCATTGCTATTAGGAAGATGCCTTTTTATGGGCCCTATCACCTTTTCCAGTAGATAGCTATACAGTATGCTGTTCATAGTTCTGATTTTTTTCCTGCCTGGATGGCAGGATTTGGGCAATACAGTAGTAATGAGACTGCATTTTCCCCCTTCCCAAAAGACACTGTTTTTAGGAAGGAAACCCTTTGTTGAGATGGTAACAAGAAGTTCTTGGCATAAACACGCTAGTTTTAATTTGTATACTAATAAGGGATTTAAGGTTATGTTCTTACTACTTTGTAAATTTTAAAGTAGTCTTACAGATATACTGTGGTTCCAACCTAAATTTTAGGTATTTTCATCTCCGAGGGTCATCTAGTTACCTCCTGGATAGTAATTAAAACATTCTGCCTTGTTTGGGTTCACAAAGTCAGGCAAAATTTTCTTCAACTCAGAATCTGAAGTAGCTTCAGCTAAGGCTTCTGATTTATGTTTGTTTACCAGATTCAGCCATCTCAGAATAAGATCCTTTTTTTAATCAGGATCCCCTTTTCCCTCAAATTATGCCCCTCACTTGCACCGTCATCTCTTTTGCAATGCTGCTAAGCAGGAGTGGCATTTAACACAATAATGTATTATTACGATGTCATTTTAATTTTACCAAAAATATTTAAACCTGCAAACATTGGTGATTTGCAGTCAGCTGAACTATTAAGTTTTATGGTATTAATTTAAAGAAAATGAAATTTGTAGACTGACTGCACATGAAGATTTCAATTAGAAGCAGCATTGCAAGGCAGTGTAAATGTTAGCCCATTCATTAAATACCTGAATGAATTAAAAAAAAATTAAATATAATTTCATTAATATAGCCATGGTACATAATATTAAAGTAATACAACTAAATCTAAGTAGCCTGTGTGGAGAAAGGATTAGAAAAATATCGAAATTAAATAACATTTACATTGTTTTATATATATTTTAAAGAAACTGGATGTCCTTTTCCATCAGTATTTTCTTGGATTAGATTTGATTTTAGCAACTATATTTTAATTAGCTATCAGGAGCTCTAGTTTATCCTTTATCATCAAGCATCTGAATATATTTTTAAAGTGGCAGGCATCTTTTCCTAAACCACTTTTTGTTTTCACCCAGGTATGGCTTCACAAATATGCGCTATATTGCCTCCCTAATTAGTGGGGTTGGCATTTTCATGATGGGTGCCGGACTTTCCTGGTATCATGGAATCATAGGCTTACTTCATCCTCAGCCCATGGAATCTCTTCTTTGGGTAAGTCAATTTTTTTCTATTGGATTTTAAAACTATGGGTGGTAGGGATGGTTTAATGTAATGAAACCTCAGTATCTGAAATACCTCGACACCCTGAAACAAAAAGTTTGAATCCTAGCAGGGTTAACCAAGCCATCTGAGGTAGTATGTTCAGTGGAACTCAGTGTATATGCGTGAGGTTATTTAAACCAATTTCCTCTCTGCTTTGCATTGACACTGATACTTTAGTCCATTTTTTAAGAATATGGGGTTGTCCTGGTGTCCTTAGCCAAAAATTTCCCTCTCTCTCCTTATACTGGGTAGTGCATTATAATCTGGTTGGTTGTTCAGTCTTCTGTCTGCCACCTAGAGATGCAGCATTGCAGTTGTGGGTAAAGTGATTCTTGTATGTAAAGTTCTTTTGGAGATTTTGGGATGAAAGCTTCTATATAAACGTGAAGCTATATACATTCAAATAATAAAATACTAGTAAAATTTTTTTTTATACTTACAGGCTTATTGTATCTTAGCAGGATCACTGGTGTCTGAAGGAGGTATGCAGTGTCATGAAATATTTGTGTTGCTTTATTCATAAGCTGATAATGCAAGCTCAGCAGTCTGTGGTGATAGTTTATTAAGTTTTTGCTTACAGAACTGCAAAGTTTTGAGCTCTGTTGTTCACAATTGCATTGATGTTTGACATCCTGGAAAACTTTTTCATTGCTTTTAATTTACTTGTGTTCTATTTAATCTTCTGCTTCAGGCAAAGGAAGGAAACTAATATAATGTGGTGTGTGTCTGTGTGTGTATGTATATTCTAGGTCTATAGTCATCTTATAGGATGTGAAAAATACATATAAGAATGTCTGGTGCACAATCTGAAAAAGCAAGCCATTTGCCGTTATGTGACAGTAGTATTCATCAGTGGGTTGGCTTGTGTGTAGAGAAGAGTGTATGGGTAGGGCTTCTCTTTATGAATTGCCACTGCTCACAATACTGATGGCCAGAAAACTTTCCTAGTGACAATCACTTGTAATATTATATTGATTTGCTTAATAAAACTATTGTTTTGGGATATTATGTGCTGTGTAGCTACAAGATTAGAATTCTTGAATTCTCACATTTGAAACATGAAAAAATAATTTTTAAATTCAGAATATTACAATTTTCATTGTATTTCTAGGAAGAAATTATTGTACTGTACTCTGTATGTGTAAAACTTGTTTATCACTGTACTTCATGGGTCTTATTTACCAAAGAAATTTTGTTGCCGATATGGTTGGTAGGAACACCATAATTAGTTTGCTATGATATGAGCAAGAGTTTCTCTTCCACTTCGTATAGTAGAAAGTTGGTCACTTTGCCTCTAACCATTTTCAGCAACAGTATTACTTTTGTTTCAGCTACACTTCTTGTTGCTATAAATGAAATTCGAAGGAGTGCCCAGGCCAAGGGTCTGTCATTTTATCAATATGGTATGTCTCTTCATATCAGTATGGCATGTGTCGTTATTTAAAATAGGATTTATTACCTGAATTTGCATACAAATAAGAACAGTATAATTACCTGTTTCTCTTGTTTTGCATGAGTCATATGATTATGAATGCTAGTAACAGGTTTTCACCCAGTTTGTAAAATATACTTATTGCCTTATTTAATACTACTTAGAGATTTGAGTATTAATGTTGTTGCATTTTGCAATATACATTTCCCATTAGTTTTACACATCTTCTGGACAAGCTTCCTTAATTGGTGTACACTGTATTATATGTATTTGTGAACACTTATGGAAGAGTTTAGCTGTAAAGTATAGGTTTTTACATACGTGTAAATATATTTTTTTATATTAGAATTAGAACTGTTTACAAAACACTGTGAATGATGTAACAAAGCTAAGATTTCAGCATTCGTGTAATTTTTTATTAAATATTCAGTCAGACAGAGTCGTGATCCCAGTACAAATGTGGTGTTGTTGGAGGACGCTGCAGCAGTTTTGGGTGTGACGTTAGCTGCTACTTGCATGGGTCTGACTTCTTTAACAGGTAAAAAACTCCATCTTAAATTGAGGCTGACTCAATTTGAGACAATATCCTCCTGTTTTGTATGCTTGGTATGACCATACCTTTTGACTCCCTTTGTTAATTGCTTTAAATGTATGTATGCACCTTTTTCATTTGGATTATGGGAATCTCCCCATCTTCCAACTCTACAAAGTCAGTTGATAAGAAAAGAAAAATTTCACTTTTGACATCATCCATTTTAAATATTTTAATCCACTGATTAGTCATTTATAAACTACACTATTGTATGATATATGATTGGTATGTGATAACTAAGGCTATGATTTTGTCGTGGATATTTTTAGTAAAAGTCAGGGACAGATCACAGGCAAGAAACAAAAAAATCACAAAAGTTGTGACCTGTCCCTGACTTTTACTAAAAACATTCCTGTCAAAATGGGGAGCTGCAGGGTCCCCATTGCTCTGCAGAGTTGGGGCCGGAGCTGTGGGGGATCCTTTCCAGCAGCCACTGAGCAGCTCCGGGGTCCCTCTGTTCCTGGCGGCAGTGGCTGGCAGCTCAGGGGTCCTTGCTGACAGTGGTGGCTGGTCAACTGTGGGGGGGTCCCTCTACCACCGCCAGTGGCAGCTGTGGAGCTGTGGGGGGCCCCTTCTAGTGGCTGCTGAGTAGCTCTGGGATCCTTCTGCCTGCAGCGGGGGTGGGGACCGGCTGCTTGTGATGGCAAAGCAGCTACAAGGGGGACACTACCAGTGGTGGCAGCAGCTGGGTTACTCAAGGGTCCCCGCTGGCGGCCGGTCAGTTATGGGGGTCGCCTGGGCTGCTACAGGAATCCCCCACTACTGGCTTCAGCAGATGTTACTGAGCATGCTCAGTACACCCTAAGTAGCACATTCAGTCAGCAGTTTTTCACACTACACGGCGGCTGGTCAGCGGTGGGGGCCCCCAGTGTCACAGAAGTCGGGGATTCCATGACTTCTGCCACCTCTGTGACATAATCGTAGCCTTAGTGATAGCACTACATAAGCTTCAGTTTATGCAGAGTGGTGCCCCCAAGGTTATACATACATCTGCTTTTCAACCCATTCCTGCAATAATGCTGTTTGTCTCTTTGATGGCATTCACTTACGTTTCATATTGCTTTAAAAAAGCTTGCATTAAAATCTGTCAGAACTGATGAATCTGAGTGATTTTCTAGCAGTATATTTTAATGAAAATCTCTGCCCCTTCGCAGATCTTTTGGAGGAAGCTTTTACTGTGGTGAGCTTCCACAGTTGTATATTACTCTCTAATCTGATTTCAAGTATATTGATTTGAAGCTATTTGAAATTAGGAGATATTTGAATGCCTTTTTTCAAACCACTGTTATTGGTGAGATTATAGCTTGAAACAACTCTAATAATGCTACTGAAGGATCATATGGATTGGCCTTCCTGTTCTGAAGACTTGAGGGCTTAAGTCATTCACACTCTTACTCACTCCAGTAGTTGCATTGAAGCCAGTGGGACCACTTGCAGACTTTAAAGTTTGTATGATGGGTCATTTCCTTTTAACTGGATTCGAGTTAACCCAAGTTGTAGTTGAATCTTTTTATGAAAAGAGAATCTATCGTAGTAAATATGTAAATCACTTTCTCTCTAGTCTGGTTACATAAACTCATATTCTGGGAAGCTGCGCACAGCCTTCTTACTGAGCTGTGCACTGTTTTACTCTGCATGAAGGGGAGGTTTAGGGAGGAAATCCTATTCCCTTCCCCCAAGATGTAGCTTTGAAGTTATGACTTTAGCCCCAAAGATACATGGTAACCTTAATACTCCTCATCTGCCAAAATAGGTGAGGAAAATAGAATGGTCTGCATAACAACAGATTTTTGTGGCCCTGTACAAGGGCTGCAGAACGAAACTGTGTTAAGGAGTGTGTGCATTCTCTGCATTGTAACTCTCGCTTCCCCACCATGCAAGAGTCAGAGAGATCCAATAGCCTGTGAAATTAGGGTTATTTGTCCATTAAAGGGTGTTGGTTTTTTGGAATTGACCTAGTAAGAATTGGATAAACATGGTACCTTTCTTTATAGGTCTTCACTAATTAGTTGCCTCACAGCTTTATTTGCTTTACTTCGTCTTTGACTCCTCTATAAAATGTTTTGTGATACTTTATATTTCGGATACTATGTAAAAATATGCAATGTTGCAGACAGAAAAATGAATATAAATAAATGTATAACGTGCCCATTATGTAAGTACTGTAATGTATTCCAAGATGGATTTCTGCTGCTGTCCTGTTTTATATTATTGCTTGCATGTTTTAAGGCAAATAAGAAAGATACCTGTTTTTATAAAAAGATTGAGTAATGTTTTTCTCCCTCTTCTCCATCAAACTGATGGACCTTACTGCTAACTTGATATTTATTCTTTTTGAAGGCTTTACTCGTTACATAGAACAGAAAGTGGGTCAAAATTTTGGTTATGCTGATGGTATTGTCACTTGCATGATGCCCATGCCCGGGAATCTGAGCACCTAACAAAATAGTCTACAAATTCATAAGTCATAAAGGGGGGTGGGGGGAAAGGCATGAGCACATGGGGCTTCCAGGACCTGGGACATGAGAGATTTTACTTTAAATCTTATATTTTCTTTATTCAATTTTATTTTCTTAACCAGAAATGAAGACAGGGTTCCCAGTACATACTCTAAAGAAACAGTAATTCCTGTGTAGAGACAACGTACTGTCTGCTTTTCAGTATTACAAAGGCTTTGTTTTTACACTTTTTGAAGTATTCTGTGAAATTAATTTCAACTGTTTTTTTTGTGTGTAGGCAACCCTTACTATGATAGCCTGGGATCTCTAGGTGTGGGAACTTTGTTGGGAGCTGTATCAGCTTTTCTCATCTACACCAACACGGAAGCATTGCTGGGACGATCCATTAATCCTGAGCAATTACAGCGACTTACTGAGTTACTGGAGAGTGACCCTGTCGTTAGGTAAGATGAGGATCCTGATAATATAAAAAGTCTCTTATCAAGCAGATCAAAAAGCAGGAAACTAGCATTTGTCTGAGGAAAAATAGTTCAAGGGCATTTTAAGACAAATTAAGTAATTGAAAACAAAGGAGCAGAGATACCTCTCTTGCATTGATTTTTCAGTCCGAATATGGCAGGATCAGGGTTTTGACAGAAACCTGGTTTGGTTTCCTGTGCTAAAAATTTTACTGACTGAATTGACAAACAGGAGAATTAAAGCTTTAGCTAAAATAAAGCCTTCAAATGTGTTTTGTGGTGCACTATACTATTAACTACAGCAGTCGGCCCAAGAATTTTGAGGAAAAGAGACAAAAATAAAATTAGTCATGTACTGTAAAGTCATATTTCCTTGCTTTTTCAGTATCTATCTTAAAATTCTGGTACTTTTATCCCTTTAATTTTTAATAAAATAGGAGCTGACCCTTGCTTTCAATATCCTTTACCCATAGCTATTTTTTCTCGGTCTGTGTATCAGTAGCTGGAATATTTATGGTGTTCATCTTTATGTATTACTGTCAGTTTTGGTCAAGAAAAATAGATGAGTCAGTTTCAATTTCAAGTACTCCTGCAGTAGTACAGTGCTGTATCATTTGGGTTGCAAACAAAAAATTTGAATAATATGCTCCTCGAAGGTTGTTGTAGTCATAGAGCAGTGGTTTTCAACATTTTTTCATTTGTGGACCCCTAAAAAATTTCCCTAAAAAGACCCCTTTGGAAATCTTAGTCATAGTCTGTGGACCCCCAGGAGTCTGCAGACCACTGGTTGAAAACCATGGTCAGAGAGATCTGGGAACCCTGCTTACAACACATCTCCCCCTCTCTAAGGTCCTGTCTGAAAATTCAAACGTCAGGTACTAACTCTATAAAACATTTGTTAGCCACACGTTAATATGGTGTGGATGTTTTAACAGTACAGTTCAAAATCAGTTGTGTGGCAGTTACAGAACTAGCAGCACCTTTGACCCCTTTCTGGTCTCGGAGTGTACCCTCCCCACGTTAAATGTTAGACCTCTTGGCTTTACCTGTCCTGAGATGGAATCCTGCAATTTCCCCCACTCTTAGACTGGGTCTTTGTGAGCCAACTGTTATTTCTCAGCAGGTCTCACAGGGCTCTAAGGCTTACCTTTGGGAGCTGTAGCTAGTGGTTGATATGATGAAAAGAGAGGTTTCTTAAAACAAAGTATTGCTTAATTTTATCAGTAAGAACACTGCAAAGCATAGGAGAAAAAGGATTTTAACACAATAAACAATCCACACCTATATCTTTCTTCTCCAAGACTTACTATCCCCTTGAAGCTTAGGAGGGCTCAACTGCTTCAGACACCCTTCACAGGGCCAAGCTGTGTCTCTGTTAGCTTATTCTTCTGCGAACAGCTCACTGGCAACTGCCCCATCTTCTCTTTCTCGCTCTCTTCCTCCTCCTCCTTTTCCTCCCTTGTAATTACTCAGAGTTCTATCCCAGAAGGAACCATTCGATCATCTAGTCTGACTACCAATGTATCACAGGCCACTAACTTTCACCAAGTGGCTCCTGCAGTGAGAAAAATAATTTGTTTGACTAACATATCTTTCAGAAAGGCATTCCGTCTCAATTTGAAGACGTCAAGAGATGGAGAATCTACCTCTTCTCTTGGTAGTTTATTCCAATAGTTAATTACCCTCACTGTTGGGGTTTTTGTTTTGTTTTGTTTTTTTAAAGGTGCCTAATTTCTTATACGAATTTGTCTGGTTTCAGCTTCCAGCCATTGGGTTTTTTGCTTTAATTTAAAGAGCCCTTTAGTAGTCAGTATTTTCCTCCCCGTAAAGGTGCTTATACACTGTAATCAAGCTACCAACTCTCCATCTTCGTCTTGATTGAGCTCTTTAAGTCTCTCACTGTAAGGTATTTTCTCCAGCCCTCAAATTGTTTTGTGCATCCTGTACCTACTTGAGGCCCTCATCATCCTTTTAAAAATGTTGACACCACAACTGTCTGCAGTATTCCAGTATCAGTCTCATCAACGTCATAGGCAGAAGTAAAATCACCTCCCTACTAGTGCTCGCTACTCCCTGTTTATACATCCAAGAATTGTATTAGCCCTTTTTGCCGCAGCATCACACTGAGAGCTCATGTTGAGTTGCTTGTCCACTATGACTCCTAAGTCGTGTTCAGAGGCACTGTTCCCCATGGTACAGAACCCCATTCTGTAGGTATGGTCTGTGTTACTTGTTCCTAGATTTATAGCTTTGCAGTGGGCTGTACTAAAATGTGTTTTGTTCAAATGGGCTCAAGTTACCAAGCAATCTAGATCACTCTGTATGAATGCCCTGTCCTCAACATTATTTACCACATATTTCTTTATTCAGAATGTCATGTGGTACTAAGTCAAAAACTTTATAAAAGTCTAAGCATTGTACATCTGTGCAGTTACCTTTATCACCCAAGCTGTTAATCTCCTCAGAGAATGAAATCAGGTATTTTTTGACGAGTTTCATTTTTCATAAAACCACGGTGACTGGTGTTAATTATATTCTTAGCCTTTAATTCTTTCAGTCGAATCCTGTATCAGCTTTTTTATTATATTGCCTGGGATTGATGTCAGACAAATCAGCATATAGTTGCGTTACCCCGTTTGCCTTTTTGAATATTAACACAACGTTAGTACTTCTCTAGTCTTCTGGAATTTCCTCGGTATTCCAAGTCTTATTATAAATTAACATCTGCAGGCCAGAGATCTCTTCAGCCAACTCTTTTGAAAAATTTGGATGCAAGTAGGGTGACCAGATGTCCCGATTTTATAGGGACAGTCCCGATATCTGGGGCTCTGTCTTATATAGGCTCCTATTACCTCCCTTACCCCCCGTCCCGATTTTTCACACTTGCTGGTTGTCACCCTAGATGCAAGTCATTTGGGCCTGCCGACTTATAAATGTTTATACTAGTGGATTTTGTCTAACATAATTCTCTATTACTAATTGCCTGGAAAGCACTTTCACATCCTCATGATGTGAGTATAATAACTTGCTTTCTTCTAAATATAAAAAAATATGTATTTATTGAATTCTGTCTTTTCTGGATCATCAACAGTTTTATCATCTCCATCCAATAATGGGTCGCATCCAATAATGGGTCAATACCACTGCTGGGATTTCTTTCGTTCCTAATACTTTAAAATCTCATTGTCCCTAGCCCTGCCGACCATGGGTTTGTCCCTGATGATGTTTTCAGCTTCCCTTATCAATTTTGTGCACTTTGTAACTTCTGATTTATATTGATTGCTGTCTTTTTCCCCCCTTTGCCGTTTGTTATATATAGAGTTTTTTATTTCTAATTACGTCCTTCACTTTGCCACTGAGTCAGATGGACTTGAGAGCGAAAGGTGGCCTCTTTCCTGATTGTGGAATCATGGCTTTTTGGCCATATAGTAAGTGTTTAAAGAGTAACTCATCCTGTTCTCTACTTTGATTCTGTGACAAAGGCTTTGTTAATTAGCACATTGATCCATATGCATTCAAGATTCTGCACTTTTGGGTTATCGGTAACTATAATACAGGTGATGGTATCGCTAATGTAGAGCACCCACCCCAAAACACCTCTTTTATCTACTCTATCTTGTCTGAACAAGTTATAACCAGTGATTTTAACATTCCTGTCATGAATTGCCCCACCAGGTTTCAGTAAAGCTAGTTTTATCAAATTCCTTCTCATCAGTGAAACTTTCCAATTCTTTTTGTTACCTAGACTCCCAGCATTGGTATATAAGCAGCTGAAAAATAATTTCTCTTTGCATTATTCATCACATCAATTCAATTTGTTCATGAAATTTTCAGTTTGAGTTTGTATCACATTTATTCCCTGGTATTCAGCATCCTCTTGTCTGCTCCAGCTGGTGTCCTTTTGATCTATTAGTTTTCAGCTTTTAGCGAAACAACTGCAACTTTGGTCAGATCTTGGAATTAGCAGTTTCATAGTTAATAGTGCAGATATTGTTTTGTAAATCCTGATCTATTTACCAAGATGTGTTTTATCTGGAATCATTGTGTTGCTTTCCTGTTAAGCTTGCTATTAAACTATCCCCCTCTTCCCCCCCCCCCACACAGAAGCACACACTAAACAATCTAATATAGCTGTACAGTAAACTATGCCCAGTCACATTCAGTATTAATAAATTAATACTGATCAGCCCCCACATCCTTCACCGTTTTCTCATAGGTGTGCTACTTCTAAAATTAGCTTTCCTATTAAATAAAGTTGTTTCTAGTGGTGCAGCATTCAGGTGTGAGGGGAGACTTGTTTTTATAACTGCTTATAAAGTGTTTGACAACTTTTGCCCATGGGACTTTGGTAGTTTCAAGGCCAATATTAACTTGACGACTTCATATGAGAGAGATCTAAATAATTAGTGTAAAATATTTAGAACTGGTTGGGAACTAACTTTAATTGTATGAAAACTATTTTTTTCCTGGGAAAATTTTTGAATTTGCCAAAATTTTCGATTTTCAGTCAGGAAAATCGAAATTAAATATTTCCTTTGGCATGATTTGACCTTATTTGAAATATTTGTGTTTTTAACTGATCCAAAACATTTTAAATCCTTTTAAAAACAAAAAATATAACAAACCAAACAAAAATCAACCATTGTGAATTGCAGTTCTGGCTCTCATTCTCTCCTAGGAGCTGGGGCTCCTGGGAAGGCTACATATGTCATTAGGCAAAGCACTGATTTTTGCCTGAGTTGCAAGATCTGTCGCAGGAGTTACATGACTCTAGGTACATTATGATCATTGTTAATATGTCAGTACAAGTGCACGTGTTCCAAGCCTTATGTTCATCCACATGGGCTGTGCCATTCTAAAATTCCATCACTGTATAAACAAAGACAGACATTGTTTTGGACACTTTTCCATGGAATTATGAGCTTGTGACAAGTTGCAACATGCACCCTATACTTGGGTCAATGCTCCTATCAAGAAACCAGACAGAGGTTGGTGTCATGATCCTAACAAAGGCTCAGATGGGAACTTCCTAAAATTAGTTTTGAGCATGCCTTGAGTAGAACCTACAGAGCTCCGCTACCACTTCTTTCACTGGAGTCATGCATACCACGTAATAAAATCTTTAAATATTTGGATCCTTGTGTCCCTGGAGCTTTAGATTCTTGGCTCCAGTTCTGAAGATAAGGTCATGCAGTATGGTTGCACTTCTCTAGCTGGGACCTCTCAACTGCCACAAAGTCAGTAGCGCCTTCTTAACAAATTTCCTTCCTACCCTTGCTATGTAGCCTGTCTGCTTGGTGCAAAAGACAGAATAGAGCTCACCTAGTGGCAACTTTCATCTGGTGTATGGCCTTACAGGGGTCGTAGTCCCCTGTGGGTAAATTAGAGTAGTCATGTTGGGGGAGGCGGGGAGAGCTTGAATATCTACAAGTAAGCAGGTCCATGATGGATGGGGGATACTTATTCCTGCATCAAATATAACTTGGCACAGGGGAGAATCTGTCCTTTATTCTCCAAAAGTGAAGATGGTTTCAAATGGTAGCAGTCAAGGAGAGGAAGTGACTTATCTGCGGTTGCTGTTCATTGAAGACGTAAGTTGTCATAGATCACTACTTCTTCCCCAAACCACTTTGTCATAATTTTAAAATACGTGTATGTACGAGTTTCTAACTTGCTCAAAAGGAACTGGTGATTGAGCCACTAGGATCATTTAAGGCAGGAGCAAACACTATTCCTGAAGGAATACTGCATCAAAAAATTAAAAATTCTGCACATAATATTTTAAAATTCTGCATATTTGATTTGTCAAAATAACACAATATAATCACACCATTTTCAGTTATTTACTGACAAGTATTTTGAAATAAATTACCAAAATAATTGAAAACTGTGTGACTATAATCTTGTGTTACGGTGTTATTTTGACAAATAAAATATGTAGAAATTTGCAGAATTTTTAATTTTTTGGCACAGAATTTTTAATTTTAGGTGCAGAATTTCCTCAAGAGTACTAGGGTTCTGTGTGGTGCAATCTGGATGTGGGCAGCTCAGTTGGGGGCGGGGGGGAATCTGAATGTATAGGGGCTCATTGAGGGGGTGGGGCTCTGGATGCAGGGGAGTCCAAATGAAGGTGATTAGGGCTCAGCGGGGGGGGCAGGGTGTTGGGAAAGTGGGGCTTGGTGGGGTGGGGGGTGCAGTTGGTTGGGGCTCAGTGGGGTGGGGGTCCAGGGGTGAGAGCTCCCAATGCAGGGGGTAAGGCTTGGGAGGGGTGGGGGGATTCTGGGTACCAGGGGCTCCTAATGCGGTGCGGTTGGGGTGGGGAGGTTCTGGGTGTGGGGTGTGTGTGTGTCCAGATGCTTGGGGCTTGGGCAGACAGGGGGAGCAGCTCCATGTACAGTGACCCACTGCCCCCATAGCTGAGGAGTGATGGGGCTGGGAAGTGGGAGGAAAGTTCACTGTATGGGGAGTTGTTCCCCCTGTCCACCCAACGCCTCTGCCTCCCTCCCCCCCCCCCCCACCCCCCCACCCCCACCCCGGTTTCTACTGGGTTGATCTGACCCAGCTCCGGCTTCTCCGTGCAGGGGAGGGGGAACTCCATTGTTGTCATCCTACCCTTGCACCCCCACCCAGCTGGGACTAACTGTCCCTGGGGGCCAGGGCATCTCCAGACTTCCCATTCCCCCTCCAGGGAGGGGTGAATGAGCACTGGTGCAGCTTTTCTTTGCTTCCCCACAAAAACAATTTTTCTGCAGGAAAGCAAAGAGACTCTATGGGGGGACATGTTTCTGCATGCGCACAGTGGTGCAGAATTCCTCCAGAAGTAAAACACACAACTCCCTTGCTGTAGTAGATAACTTGGAGCTTTCACTTTGAGCATAGCTCTAGGAGTGGTTATCTATTAACTTATCAGAGAATGGTAATTACAGATAGGAAAATTTCTGGTCTCTACAGTTATCTGTTAACCACAAAGGGAAAATATAAACTAGCCACCAGGTCAGATCCTAATGCTCCTGTAATCAGTTCTTAGCCATTTTATCCCTCTCACAAATGACTTGATGCACTGTTGCAGGCTCAGCAGTCATATTTGTAAAACTTGGTACATTTAAACCAGTACTAAACATAGGAATATGTAGTAATGAGAGTTTGATTTGAAAATATTCAGAGGCTCTAATGCAGGACAGAAGGGAACAGTGCCCCTATATAATTACAAAATCTTTGAACTGTGACAATTTGTAGTGAACACCAGAATTCAGATCAGCTAATTGTTTTGCTTTACATTGTTCCACATTTTTTAAAATTATCTATTTCAGAGCAATTCATGATGTTAAAGCCACAGACATGGGATTGAGCAAAGTGAGATTCAAGGCAGAAGTAGACTTTGATGGACGGGTTGTGACTCGTTCTTACCTGGAAAAGCAAGACATTGAACAGCTGCTACAAGTATGTTTAATAAAGCAATATCGTTACATCCAGCATTTTTTTCTTTCCCATTATCAAGCATATTAAAAGAAAAATTTGCAAGTAGATGGGATATATTGTTTTGCATTTATATAGCTCCTCATCCTGAAGAATCCCAGATGGCCTTACATATTTAACACCCTGATACAAAGTATACACAGAGATCATACCATCAGCCTCCACCTCTGGGCTTAAATGCAGCAGTAGTGCATAGCAACACTACAAAACCTTCTTAGTACAAGAAGTGTAAAAAAAACAACAACAACAAAACAAAACAAAAAAACATGTATCCAGGTCAAATTACAAGGCTAATTTTAAATAATCAGGATATTGCCCAACATTCACAAGTTGTTGTTCTGTCTAGATTTGCCTGTATAATTCCCAGCTCCTTACTCTGAAAAGCTTTTTCTAAAAACCACCCTGATTCAGAGGAAGACCAGGAAGATGGAGCTAGGCAAGCTCACCCTGTGACAATGCCAATACCACTTCTGCAACACCTTGGGATTTTCTCTGGAAATCTCTTCTCCAAAAACTGATCGTTATAGGTCTCGCAAACTAAGCAGGCTCAGATCAGAACCAGAGGTGGCATTGTTTCAGGTCTGGTTTATGATCATACAGCACATTATTTCTCTCCTTGCACTTGATTTTTAAAAACTAACGTATGTTTTTAGAGATGTTACAGGAAACATTAAGAAGACTATTTAAGTCAAGTTAGCTTTGTATCCAAGGAGTACTGTTGATCTTATACTGTGCTATGTCTATATTAGTGAGCAATATTTGTGTCTTAAATATACTTCAGCCTTATCGCCTATGACTGTGATATTACAAGTTAAGAAGCATCTAGCCAGTTCTGTCCTTGGATATGAGACAGCCAAGAAAAACTCATGTTAGTATTGGGATACCATCTATAGGTTTTTATACATCTGTTAGCTTGGGTTTTACTATTTGGTGAAAAATTCCTTTCTTTATAGAAGAGGTCTGCCTAGTAATTCTGTAGAGAGTGTTACATCCTGTTTTCCTTAACCTCTTTTCTTCTGTTTGGTGCACTGTTGACATCTCCTAGTCTCAGTTCACAGCTGGTTTACTTGGCTCTTTCTGGGGGCCAAGGATGAGTATTTCCTGCAGGCTGCATAGTGAATCTTTAGGTATTACTACATTTATTTTGCCACCTGTGATGCGATACATTATACAGCTACCACTAAAGTTACACATTTTTAAATCAGCAGGTCTGGATAACTTGCATCCAAGAGTTTTAAAAGTGCTGGCCGAGGAGCTTGCTGGGACCATTAATATGAATTTTCAATAAGTCTTGGAACACCGTGGAAGTTCCAGAAGACTAGAAGAAATGTGCCAATATTTAAAAGGGGTAAATGGGACAACCAGGCTAATTATAGTCCTGTCAGTCTGACATTGATCCCAAGCAAAATTATGGAACAGCTGATATGGGACTTAATTAATCAAGAATGAAAGGAGGTTAATATAATTAATGTCAATCAACATGGGTTTATGGAAAACAGATCCAGTCAAACTAACTTTTTACTTCTTTGAGTAAGATTACAAGTTTGGTTGATAAAGGTAGGTGTTGATATAATTTATTTAGACTTCTGTTAGCAGTTGACTTGGCATTTTGATTAAAAAAACTTGAACAATAAAAAATTAACATGGCACGTATTAAAATTTTTAAAAAAAACTGTCTGATAGGTCTCAGTGTAATTGTAAATGGGGAACTATCTTCAAGTGGGTATGTTTCTAGTGGACTACTTCAGGAATTGGTTCTTTGCCCTGTGCTGTTTAACATTTTTATCAGTGACATGGAAGAAAAAAAAATCATCACTGCCAAAGTTTGCAGATGACCCTAGGTTGGGGGATTGGTAAATAACAGAGGATGGGTCACTAATATGGAATGATCTGGATTGCTTGATAAGCTGTGTGTAAGCAAATAAATATACCTTTTAATACACCCAAATGTGAACTTCAGAACAAAGAATGTAGGCCATACTTACAGGATGGGAGACACTATTCTGGGAAGCAGTGACTGAAAAAGACTTGGAGTCATGGTGGATAAGCAGCTGAATGTGAGCTCCCAGTGCAATGCTGTGGCCAAAAGGGCTAATGCAGGGGAGGGCAAACTACGGCCAGCGGGCCACATCCAGTGCACCAGCAGATTTAATTCTGCCCTTGAGCTCCCGCTGGGCAGTGCTTACTACAGGCAGCTCCCGGAAACAGCGGCATGTCCCCTCTCTGGCTCTTACATTTAGGGGTAGCTAGGAGGCTCAGTGTGCCGCCCCCGCAGCTCCCATTGGCCGGGAACTACAGCTAATGGGCGCTGCAGGGGCGGCACCTGTGCACGGGACAGTGTGGCGAGCTGCCTGGCCGTGCGTCCGTGTGGGAGCCAGAGGGGGGACATGCTGCTGCTTCTGGGAACTGCCTGTGGTAAGCGCTGCCTGGAGCCTGCACTCCTGAGCACCTCCTGCCCTCCAAACTCCAGCCCTGATCCCCCTCCCGCCTTCCAAACCCCTTGGTCCCAGCCTGGAGCACCTTTCTGCATCCCAAACCCCTCATCCCCAGCTCCACCCCAGAGCCTGCACCCCCAGCCAAAGCCCTCACTCCCCCCACCCTAACCCCCAGCCTGGAGTCCCCTCCTGCACGCTGAATGCCTCGTTTTTGGCTCCACCCCAGAGCCCAAACCCCCAGCCAGAGCCTGAATCCCCTCCCACATCCTAACCCCAATTTTGTGAGCCTGCCATACAATTTCCATACCCAGATGTGACCCACGGGCCAAAAAGTTTTCCCACCCCTGGGCTAATGTAATCCTTGGATGTATAAACGGGAATATACAATAAGAGTAAGAAGGTTATATTACTGCTATATTTGGCACTGACGTGACCACTACTGGAATGTGTAGCAAGTTTTGGTGGGCATAATTCAAGAAGGGAGGTTGATAAATTGAAGAGGGTTCAGAGAAGTCACAAGAATGATTAAAGGATTAGAAAACCTGGCTTCTGTGTTTGAGCTCCTAGAGTAGTCTGTCTATTTTAGCTTAGCAGAGAAATGGCTAAGGGGTGTCTTGATCACAGTTTAGAAATACCTATATGGAGAATGAGCTCTTCAGTCTAGCAGACAAGAGTATGGCAAGTTCCAGTGGCTGGAACTTGAAGCTAGACAAATTCAGACTGGAAATAAAGTATAAATTTTTAACAGTGAGGGTAGATAACCATTAGAACAACTTATCAAGAATTGTGGTGGATTCTCCATCAGTGTCCATTTTAAAATCAAGAACGGTTGTTTTTCTAAGACATGCTGTAATTCAAATAGGGAAGATGTTGGGTAAGTTCTGTAGCCTGTGTTATGCAAAAGGTCAAACTATATGGTTACGGTGGTCCGTTCTGGCCTTACGTTTCTGAGAGAGAATCAGAGGAGAGAACAAGAAGAGAGAAGCTGCTCTGCCTTGTTAGGAGAAAACGGAGAGGTTTACCAGCTTTTTGAAGAGATGACTTTTTTTGGAAAGACAAAGTGCAGTTCTCTAAACCTAGTTTGTGAATAAAGGAAAAAGTGAAAATGTGTATGTACATAATGCAGGTTTATTGCTAGCCCATCTTCCTCCCCATCTGTTTTACATCCTTCATGTCCTTCGTCCTCACTGCCCTGAAAAGTCAGGAATGATAAAGAAGCCCAGTCTTTTCCAGTTCTTTGGCAAATGGTTGCCCATTAGGAAACACGAATATGTTTAAAAATTGATGGTTGCTTGTTTTTCGTTTTGTTTAGGTTTTTACCTTCCCCTCCAACCTCTCAAATTTCATTTCTTGCTAGGAAATTCAGCAGGTGAAAACTCTTGAGGAATTAGAAGCCTTCATGCTTAAACATGGAGAGAATATCATTGACACACTGGGAGCTGAAGTAGACCGGCTTGAAAAGGAGCTAAAGGTAATATTCAGTTGGTAAAAATTATTAGTCAGTCTGAATGCTCCTATTTTGCTGATATTTAGGGCTTTGTTGTACCTTTAAGAAAAGCAGGGACAAACTTCAGTTAAGTTTCATTGAACAAATCTGACCTTGAAAATAAGTATTTATCATGCCTTGGGTCTGCTTGACATGTGTGGTTTGCATGGTGGTTTGTTTTGTCTCTGTCTAAGGCACTTGCCATTCTAAGATCATTACTACTTATTGATAACAATTCCCATGGAATATTACCTGTTTGCGTTTTCTGAAAAATGGTACAGTTGTCTCAAAATGTCAAGTCATTTATAGGCCCTTGAACTCCACATCGGCTGTAATGAGAAGCAACTTTTAAATGGTTTTTAACCATACACTTAATGTTGTATCAAAAGTGATGTCATTGCATATGAAGGGGGCGCCAATTACTTTACGTCTTATTTTTTGTTTTGCTCTTGGCAAAACAGAATATCTGTCACTGCGACTACTGCTCTACCATGTGACACAACTTCAGTAGACACACAAACAAGCATCCATCCTTTTTTCAGTTTAGGATTTAAAGATATCTTTCAATTGGAACAGCAAAGGTTTGTCATCATTGTTACATTGTGGCTACTAAAACCTTACCTGAGAAGTTATGGTGGGTAGGTGTGGCATGCTTTTATTTTCATTTAGCTTGTGGTCTGTCCATTATACCAAACCATAACTTTATAAATGGATAGATTCATCACAAGGCCTCTTTAACACTTTTTGCCTTTGTGATTTCAAATTCTAGAGTGGTGTTATTGGGCTGGACAGAGATCTAGTCAGACAGTTGTGTTGTGACTCTGGTTTTGTATCAATAGTTTATGTACTGATGTGTGATCACCTAGTTTTAAGCAGATGCTGGGAATTCCTGAAAGTATATGTGGATTGGAGAGGTCTGGGAAGTACTAGATGTTCAACATTCAGTTCTGTTTTTGGAGTCTGGTTTTCTTGCCTTACATTCTGTTACATCTCACAATCTGGGAAAATGCTAGTGCTTGGAAGAACAGAGTTGTCTGTTCCTCCTAGGATGAAAAGGTGGACAGGGTATCTGTCTCATGCCCTTTGTGGCTGAGCAGCAGAAGGAATAGTATGTACAAATAAATCATATTAGTCTGCATGAAATAAATGGGAAAACTGTTTATATTACAAGTTTATGAAAAGCCCCAAAGGAAACTTTTTAATGCAGAACATATCCATTCCATACATTTCCTTGGTGGGTACTATAAGGCTATGATTTTTTTAAAATGTTTTTCCTTTCTGCTGAAGAATTTATTTTCCTGCTTTTGGAGTAGTTAAGCATTTCCTTTGTCTGAAGATGCGAGGCATTTGGGCAGACAAATATTTCCACAGGCATAGGTAAATTCCATGGTATTTCTGAAGGGGAGCACGGAGCCATGATCCTAACCATAGTGTGCCAGATAAATGTTGTGCCTTTGTGATTGCCTTTTCCCTTCATCAGAAGGTGCTTTTCAAGAGCGTGTTCTAGCGTGTGTAGGATTTTTGAGAAGCATTCTAAGTAATTTTAATTTTATCTCCCCAGAGTGGTGCTATTGAAAATCAAAATCAATGTTTTGACTATAGTTGGATTTGCTTGCTAGCCCTTAGTGATTTTTGAACAGCAAGCTCAAGAATAGTAATTTTCAAAACATGAATACTATTTTCAGTGTATATAGGGATTTCAATAATTGTGTTGCTATTGACAAAGCTTTACCTAATTTAAAGTCACCTGTAGAAATGTTGGTGAAGCATGTCACTTGAAGCAAACATCACCTGTTGTGCAAACCACATATTTAATAGTATAGACCAGTTCTTTTCATGCACTTTTGGCATTCAGGAAAGTGCCTCTTCTATGTAGAATGTAATTTTTTTTTCATTTGGACATTTTTACCTTTAAAACCAATTACCTTTTAAAAATTAAATTAATTTTAATTACATTTTAAATTTTAAATTAAATTAAGTTGAAACCAATTACCTTTTTTAAATCATGAGCTGCTTCGTACTTTTGAAAGCATTAGAACTTATTTAGCTATGAAGTTGTCACCATTCTAGTACACGCTGATAAATGTTCCTTGGTGGACAAATTCTTTAGAGCTGCCTAAAGCATGGATTAAATGTATTAGTTAGTCTTCATTTTAAAACAATTGCTATGTTACATGAGGAGGGATTTGTTGTTTGTTGCCAACATCGTGGCAGGTCTTGTCATCAGCATTGTCGTGGTACATTTGATTGTCTATGCTTATTAATAAAATTTGTTTTTTTTTTGTTTCAGCAACGCAATCCTGATGTTCGACATGTAGATTTGGAAATATTGTAGACTTGACAGAAGAAATCCTTGGAGTACTCTCTTTTGGAAACAAGTTTGCACAGAGATGGAATAGCTATTGAAACTGCAGTCACCTCAATACCATACCTCATTTACTTCATGCTGTAGGCTTCCTGAACTGTTGTTACTGACTCTGTTTCCAGAACAGCTTTAGATTCAAAGTCAACAACTTTGTTTGGAAGATCAGTTCAACAAAAGCTTCTTAGCATAATTTCTACATGAGACTGTTAGAGGTGAATTTATTTGGGACTTGGAACTTAGATCTTTTAGTTTCTATAAGGCAAATGTTAATGCCTGAAAATACACAGAAGATAGTTTCCCTATTTCAATTTTTTGTCAACTTACACATCAGTTTGCACTCATTTAACTACTTCCTTCTAGAAGCCATTGGAGGTATTTGCAAGATACAGATGTTTAATGCTAGAACAGACTTTGTTTCATTTGTTCTACCTGCCACTTTGAACCAGTTGTCATATTCTAGCTATATGGTCTTTTTTTTTTCCCCCCCTTCTAAGATCAATCCCTCCAAAAAGAACTGCCCTTTTCTCGAGTTTCATGATTTGGAAACATGCTTCTGCCAGTGTTGCAATTATTGACATAACCTCAGAGGATCAGATCAGTCTCTTGAATGCAGTTGGCTTTGGGCTTGGCCTAGAGTATGTTGAGTTACTGCGCAGGATGTAGAAATCTCAACACGCTTTTTTTTTGTAGGTGATCTTGGCCATGTCTTGTGTGTAGGTTTTCTCTCTTCAGACTTTTTCCCACCCATATGCCTTTTTGTTGCTTTAACTTGCTAACATTGGAGGATATAAATTTATTTAGTAGTTTTCTGATATTTTTCATTTGGCTTTTTATCCTTTTAAGAGGCAATATTCTGCAAATGATCTTTGCTAGCAAAAACAAGAGGTGGTGTAGCAGTTTTAACATATTCAAGAAATATTTATACTTAAACAGATGTGAAGATGATATATTAATTTATTTACACAGGCACTACTTGTATGAATCTGAATTGTAGATTGCTTTTTTTTCCCCCCACCCCCGCCCTTCAGAAAAAACCCTTTGTGTGGAAGAAGTAAAACAATTGTGCTGAAATGTGTGTCATGGCTGTCAGTAATCCCAAAACTGAGTGCATAGAATTGATGTGTTTGAAATGCAGGATTCTAGTGTTTTATAAAATGGGTTTCTAGAATAAGGCTTTCTGCAATAGGTATCCAAGTCATAGCAGACTCTGTGAGAAATAATCTTTTAATAAAGGCTTAGTGAGTACAAATCATGCAAATCTAGTAATTGAAATATTAATGGAATAATTAGCGATAAATCTTTCTCCAAGAAAAATCCTTTATGCACTTTAAAACGTTTCAGTAACATGAAAATTGCTCATGGGAGAGAGGTGGCAATAAGAGCATCCTGATGAATCTGTTGGTGGGTAATCTAGTGAGTGACATACTGAGGGCAGAAATGTTGATAGGGAATACAAGTCATCAAAATCAATTTAAGATTAAATCATATGCATTGCAGCAAATGATAATAGTGGAAACCAAAATGTCAGGATTTGATTAAATGCTTTGTAATAGTATTTTTTTAAAATGTCATTTGCCAGTGAATTATGAGAATTTAAAATAGCATGCCTTTTGACAATTGCAAAATACTGCATGCTGTGCATTTTAAATAAAATGACATTCCAAATTTTAGTTTTTGGAGATGAGGCTTTATGTACTGTAATGTGTGTAATGGATGACTTCGTTACATAGTTGGGAATGAAGGGTTAGTTAGTACCCTTGCCTATAATTCCTGTTCCTTCTCTTCTCATCAGTCATTTGTTTATAGCCTATTAGTGCTTAACCTAAGGGAAGACTTGATTTTTGTCTCCCACTGCAGTGCTAATTAGATTTGTAGTATATACTTAAGACTGAACATTAGAAATGTGTTTAATAAAGTGATATTTTTAAAGTTAATTTCACATATTTGTAAAATGTTACAAATGTGTGGGTAGTTTCCCAAATAACTAATGAGGGACACTTTAGCACATTCTGAATGGTTTACTTTGAGTCTTTTTCTCAAGTCTGCTTCTCTATATCCCAGCATGCACTCTGCTGATGACATAATCATCCAGGAAGAGCACTGGAACTTGACTTTGATTAAGGCAAATCCTATTTATCTCCTCTTCTTTCTCTATTCCCCCCCTCCCTCCCATAAAGCACTATAAAGTACTGTTACTGAAGAAAAACAAAAATTTTAAAATCCTGGAAGGGAGGGCAAGAATCTGAACATTGCCTCTGGCCATTACTCTTCAGTGATGTATGTGACATCACAAGTGCCATGTATGCCGGACCATCGTGAATGGGAGTCAGTAATCTATAAGGGGAGTTTGTATATTGTGTTTCTGAAACATCCCCAAAGGTTAGTAAATATTAGAAATGTACTGAAATGCTCCCTTATCTACTTTATAGAGAAACTTAAGTCCATAATCTTAAAGTGCAAACTACTCTGAAAAGTGTTTGTGTAAAAAAGGGTACTTGCTCAATCATAGCTGCTCCCTGCATGTATTCTGATTCATATCTGCCTACTTCACTGACAAAAATAAGATTGTACTGCTTTTTATTGTCTTTGCAGTGCTATGAGAAAGGGAGCTGGACTCTGTTGCTTCTGTCATCAACAAGATTTACTAAATTCCAGTTGGGTACATCTTTGCAACCCCATTGGAGGCTGTAGGTTTGCACAGGCATCATTAAGAACTTAATTTTATTTGCAAAGCCACTTTCATTGGTGGCGATGCATGAGGAAAGACCCCAGTTTGATCCTGAGAGCCCAGCATGGGTTTTCATGGCTTGCATTTGGTTAAAACGTCTTCTACATTGAGCACGACTTATAACAGAAATTGGCATAATAAACCTGGTACCCCATTTTTAGTCACTTTGAGAAGGGAATTGCACTTTAAAGTGGTAGCAATTTAAAATATATTAAATTATAATACATTTAATTAAATTATAATATAAAAAACTTTTAACAGATTGTTGTTAAATGTTTTTAGTGAAAACTGTTACTCAGATTTAAGCTACAGTACTTTCATGGTCTAAAGAACGGGTTGAACTGGGTCCAGGATTTGGTTTAGCCTTGTTACGGTATTCTGATCGGAAGCTTTTTGGGATAGTCCTTTTCCGTGGTAGGATATTTTGGATTAAAGTAAACTTGCAAAGTACTAAGGAATTGGGTGTTTTCTTCATGAACCATAGATGTGACACCTTAACTTGTCACTTAATATTATCTCTGATTTGAAAGAGTGATAAAATCAATGGAGCAAGGAATCAGCTAAAATTTAAAATGTTTGTTCTAGGATTTTTTCAATACATTTTCCTCTGTCTCTTAAAGCCATGGAATATATTTATTTTTATAGATTCTGTTGGCCTTACAGCCTTTATTTTGCAAAACAGGATTCAGACAACTCTGTCCATTTATTTTGTGGGAAATACATTCTCATTAGTTGCATGATATTTCATAATTCAATCTGGATGACATTAAAGAAATGCTGATTGACACAAGATATATTTTGAGGAAAGAGTCTAACCACTGCAACTACTGAGGGCTCACAGTTTTAAGGTCTCATTAGATTCCTTTTTTTTTGTTTTTTGGACTTCTATGGAAATTTCCTGAATACTTTGTCTTCTGACGCTGGACATGAGATCGTATGCTTTCCCCTTCAGATGGGACCTTCACTATGGTTATCTATAGTTGTAATCTCAAGGCTAGGGACTAGTCCAACAAAGCTCTACTTGGGGCTAATCTTGAAGGCTATCCAGAAACTTCAGCTGGTGCAGTATGTGTGGAGCGCTTGACAGTTAAGTAGGGCAGACTGGCAGGAGTATATTGTACTTGTGCACTGAACTTCAGATTGATTCCCAGTTCACAATGGAATTTAATTCAAGATGCTGGTTGCTATCTATAAAGCCCTGAAGAGTATAAGCCTCAGTTGTCTGGTACTGTTCCACCTGGGGCCCTCAGAGGCTCAGCATAAGCTCTTCAGCTTTTTCTGTTGCAAGGGTACAGGTCACAGGACCCCGACGTTCTCAGTGGTGTGTCCTCCTCTTTAATACTCACACATGCTAGAAAAGTATGTGGACTACATCCACATTTGGAATGTGACTTAGATTAGCTTTCTGCTAACTGAAGGTCTGGAATCTCCTGACATTTTATCCTACTAGCAAGTTTTTGAGAGAATATGATAAATCTAACCTTTTTGAAGTGTGTTTGAAGAAAAGGAATGAAGACTTACCAAGATAAGCAGTAATGTGAAAAAATATGGAAACAAAATAAAAATGGGAAGTGGAAAAAATTAACATCAAATTCATCATATAGACAATGAGATAAGAAATCAGGTAATATTAGTTTGAATGGAAAAATAGACCATAAGAAATTATCTAACAAGGACACAGAATGCAATGTAGTTAATATCTGGATTCTAAGCAAAAGAGAGACTGTTCTGAAACATTTTTATTTCTTTAAAATAATGATTGGGTGAAACAGATACTTTTTTCAGTCTCACTGGAAAGATTTATATGGTGAAAACTGTCTTAGGTGACCAATCTAAGGGACTGACCATTTGTTTCTTGACTGAGGTGACCAGATGAAGGTGGCACAGATTATTATTTCAAAAGTTTGAGGTACAGTAGTATAAGACAAGAAATTGTCTAAGGTGGTCTATCATACAGATTTAATTATTTAGCAGCCAGGGATGGAAAATTCCGGGCCCTACTGCTCAGTATGATGGAGTAATCTCAGTGTGTGTAAATATCCCTCTCTCAAAGCTGTTGGCAAGCTGTTTAAGAGGTAGCGGACAGCGAGTTGTAGGAAGGGATATTAGTATTGGCACTGCACTGAGGAAACTTGAGGATTTATTTTTCAACAAGATCGATTCAGAGCACACTCAACTATGGGCACAAACACTGAATGAAAACACTGGTATTATGTGATTTGGCCACCTAAATCATGTAACTCAGTCCAATAAAAGGAATTTGGAATGAACTGAAGGAAGTTTTTAAAAAAGGACACCTTACAGCAACAAAACAACTGAAGCACCATCTTGTGGACACATTAAAAGCAGTTATCTCCCATTAGCAAGAAATAAATAGCGTTCCAAAGATCACTGCATTATATTGTGAACACACCAATATTTAATAGAATGACTGGAAGAAATTCCAATCCTTATCTTTTCAGATTGTCTAAACTTCTGTGGACAAAGTGAAGTGCCCAGTTACATAACTTTTTGCAAATCCCTTTAAACCATTAATTGTACTAAGTGTCATGTTCAAGGATTTGACATTTATTTAAATAACATGGAGAGGAAAAACCTTGTTCGTAGCAAGTACAGCAGCAGTTTTCCAGGCTACACTCTGTGCACTTTTGAGGGCAGATTCTTTCTCTAACACTGCTCAAAACCACCAAGAACCATTCAGGGAGAGGCTCTTATTCCCTGTTTAAAGTTTTGTACTGATAAAGCATATGGACAAAATTCTGTATTTCTAGTATTTGTTAACAAAATTGTTATGAGGAAGTAGAGCTAGGGAAAGAGTCTACTGATTAAATTAGCGAGACAGTTCCATGCTCTCATCTGACCTAAGACAAAGTTGATTTTCTAACCCAAATTGAAAGTGGATTTATTAAAGAAAGATTTATTTTAGGATAATTTCAAATCTTAGAGCAGAAGAAAACATGCTTTCCTAGTGTGGGAGAAAATAAATGTGGCAACTATAGTTTGAAAGGAGATTATGCAAAAATTTGGTTTATTGAAGTGGAAATGTGCTATATTGAACACGAAAATTCATTTGTTTAATCATGACCAACACTACAACAAATCTGAAAGCCATCACTTTGGACCTCTTCACTTATGTGTCTGGAAGAGATCTTTCTATTGAGAACCCCAAAATCAGTGTCTTATGTTTCTCCATGTAACCACATCAATCTTTCAAACAAATGCATGTTCCCACTATTCTGAAGCTTTCTTGTGATGCTTTTTATTTTGCTGTATTTCAGTTACTTTAAGTCTGAGAATCATGCTGACTGACAGGCATAGGCATCATATTAATAAATATTTATCTCTGCATATGTATTTTATTTTGCACGCTTAACATTGGCACATATAGTATCTTGTAAAAATCAATGGAATCTAATTATTCAGTAAAAATGTTAATTAAATCACAAAAAGAAAAGGAGTACTTGTGGCACCTTAGAGACTAACAAATTTATTTAAGCATAAGCTTTCGTGAGCTATAGCTCACTTCATCAGCTCACGAAAGCTTATGCTCAAATAAATTTGTTAGTCTGTAAGGTGCCACAAGTCCTCCTTTTCTTTTTGCAAATACAGACTAACACGGCTGCTACTCTGAAATAAATCACAGATGACAAAGATATGTTCTGCTTTAATTTGAGCAGAGCAATTTACATTTACTTTTCTAAGATAAAACAGATGAGAACATTAGCTTTAGGCAGATACCAAGCAGGTTTGGACAGTTTTGCTGGCCACTCTGAGTACAGAGTAGCATTTTGCATATTATAGTAATTTGAGGATTCAGAATGAATGAATGGTTGGACACAACCTCTTCTAGAAATAAAACTGGAATCTCTAGGAACAGCCACACTATCTATATATTTTATATATTGTCATTTGAAAAATAGTTTTAAAAAGTGGTCTGTGACGTTAGTCTCACAATAATTTGGCAGCTTTTTGCTCACAGAAAGTAAATTCTTCAATTCTGACCATAGAATCATAGGGACCTCAGGAGGTCATCTAGTCCAACCCCCTGCTCAAAGCACGACCAATCCCCAACTAAATCATCCCAGCCAGGGCTTTGTCAAGCCTGACCTTAAAAATACCACTCTCTCAATCCTGGCCCTCTCCCTCCCCTAATGCAATGAGGTGCCTCCCACAAAGCAGAGCATTCAGACTCCCTGCATGGGCAAAATCCATGCTGGTTCCCTCGACATGAACTCCCAGTGTGAATCATCTCTATATCCTGGTTCCGGATCTGAGGGTCAGGTCAAAAACAGCTAGTAGGGGAGACAGGTTGCATTTGGGTATACAAACAAGTGAATGTGGGTTCCTAGAGGCTGAGCTCAATTGTCTCCATACAATAATCCTTATTTGACATGTAGCTGGAAACTAATTCCCCAGCACAGCTGTCCCAAGCCCCAGGAAAAAGCTAGGTATCTTCCACCCGGAAATCACATAGCTGAGTAAGGATTATTAAACCCTGTTCATCAGACAAATATCTTTTTTCAATCTGTTACATTGGCAGTCATGAGAAATTTATTGATTTTCCTTAAAATGCTTTTTATTCTTTAATTCTGCCTTTGAGGAACAAAGGTGTCTTGGGCAGCCCAGAATTTAATACTTCCCCACCCTTGGTAACAGGATGAGCAAGAGGAGGGTTTTTTGTTTAATCCCTTTCTCTCTGCTACCTTGTATGAAGAGACTGACTGGAGGGGCATCAAGCTGCTGGAAAAACAGTTATTGAAGTGCCATGGCGGGAGAATGGGACCTTCAGAAGAGGTTGGGCTAGGAAGCCAAGGAAGGAGGCCTCGAGTGCATTTGGAGCATGGAGAGAGTTACCACCCTAATGTTTCATTTCAATACTTACCATATTGGGGAAAAATGTCAGCATGAGCAGGTGTAATATTGAGACCTAACTGACTTGTACAAACCCATTGACAGTTAGTTGGAGAAAAGTCAAGACGCAAACTGATGAACGGTCCAGCTAGAAGCTGAGAAGGGTCAAAGAGGTTTTTAACCCCATTATCTGCTAGAGAACAGAGGACTGGAACAGGGGAGTCTGAGAGGAGAAGGAGATCCTCCTGTTGAACGAACAAGGTGTGAGTACTAACCTTGAGGCGAGTGAGTATGCTTGGCTGTTTATGTTTTTCTCTCTCTTTCAGACTATTTCAGTTACTGTAAAAAGAAAAGGAGTACTTGTGGCACCTTAGAGACTAACCAATTTATTTGAGCATGAGCTTTCGTGAGCTACAGCTCACTTCATCAGATGCATACCGTGGAAACTGCAGCAGACTTTATATATACACAGAGAATATGAAACAATACCTCCTCCCACCCCACTGTTCTGCTGGTAATAGCTTATCTAAAGTGATCATCAGGTGGGCCATTTCCAGCACAAATCCAGGTTTTCTCACCCTCCACCCCCCCACACAAATTCACTCTCCTGCTGGTGCTAGCCCATCCAAAGTGACAACTCTTTACATAATCAAGTCGGGCTATTTCCTGCATAAATCCAGGTTTTCTCACATCCCCCCCACCCCCATACACACACAAACTCACTCTCCTGCTGGTAATAGCTCATCTAAACTGACCACTCTCCAAGTTTAAATCCAAGTTAAACCAGAACATCTGGGGGGGGGGGGGTAGGAAAAAACAAGAGGAAACAGGCTACCTTGCATAATGACTTAGCCACTCCCAGTCTCTATTTAAGCCTAAATTAATAGTATCCAATTTGCAAATGAATTCCAATTCAGCAGTTTCTCGCTGGAGTCTGGATTTGAAGTTTTTTTTTTTTAAGATAGCGACCTTCATGTCTGTGATTGCGTGACCAGAGAGATTGAAGTGTTCTCCGACTGGTTTATGAATGTTATAATTCTTGACATCTGATTTGTGTCCATTTATTCTTTTACGTAGAGACTGTCCAGTTTGACCAATGTACATGGCAGAGGGGCATTGCTGGCACATGATGGCATATATCACATTGGTGGATGTGCAGGTGAACGAGCCTCTGATAGTGTGGCTGATGTTATTAGGCCCTGTGATGGTGTCCCCTGAATAGATATGTGGGCACAATTGGCAACGGGCTTTGTTGCAAGGATAAGTTCCTGGGTTAGTGGTTCTGTTGTGTGGTATGTGGTTGTTGGTGAGTATTTGCTTCAGGTTGCGGGGCTGTCTGTAGGCAAGGACTGGCCTGTCTCCCAAGACTTGTGAGAGTGTTGGGTCATCCTTTAGGATAGGTTGTAGATCCTTAATAATGCGTTGGAGGGGTTTTAGTTGGGGGCTGAAGGTGACCGCTAGTGGCTTTCTGTTATTTTCTTTGTTAGGCCTGTCCTGTAGTAGGTAACTTCTGGGAACTCTTCTGGCTCTATCAATCTGTTTCTTTACTTCTGCAGGTGGGTATTGTAGTTGTAAGAAAGCTTGACAGAGATCTTGTAGGTGTTTGTCTCTGTCTGAGGGGTTGGAGCAAATGCGGTTGTATCGCAGAGCTTGGCTGTAGACGATGGATCGTGTGGTGTGGTCAGGGTGAAAGCTGGAGGCATGCAGGTAGGAATAGCGGTCAGTAGGGTGGTGTTTATGTGGCCATTGTTTATTAGCACTGTAGTGTCCAGGAAGTGGATCTCTTGTGTGGACTGGACCAGGCTGAGGTTGGTGGTGGGATGGAAATTGTTGAAATCATGGTGGAATTCCTCAAGGGCTTCTTTTCCATGGGTCCAGATGATGAAGATGTCATCAATATAGCGCAAGTAGAGTAGGGGCTTTAGGGGACGAGAGCTGAGGAAGCGTTGTTCTAAATCAGCCATAAAAATGTTGGCATACTGTGGGGCCATGCGGGTACCCATAGCAGTGCCGCTGATCTGAAGGTATACATAGTCCCCAAATGTGAAATAGTTATGGGTAAGGACAAAGTCACAAAGTTCAGCCACCAGGTTAGCTGTGACATTATTGGGGAGAGTGAATTTGTGTGGGGGGGTGGAGGGTGAGAAAACCTGGATTTGTGCTGGAAATGGCCCACCTGATGATCACTTTAGATAAGCTATTACCAGCAGGACAGTGGGGTGGGAGGAGATATTGTTTCATATTCTCTGTGTATATATAAAGTCTGCTGCAGTTTCCACGGTATGCATCTGATGAAGTGAGCTGTAGCTCACGAAAGCTCATGCTCAAATAAATTGGTTAGTCTCTAAGGTGCCACAAGTACTCCTTTTCTTTTTGCGAATACAGACTAACACGGCTGTTACTCTGAAATTCAGTTACTGTGTCAGTTGAGATTGTGTCTGGGGACTGCTTGAACCTTTGTTCCCTGGATCATCTTTGATCAACCTCGATCAGCCTTGTGATCACCCTCCCCCTGTGTGATTAACAAGGGGGTAGGGCTGACCTAGGAGGGAAGGCCTTAAAAGCCAGGGGCTAAGTGACCAAGGGGAGCTAGCAAACAGGGCAGCTTGAGAGGGGATTTGTGGGAGGGAATCAATATTATCGCCTTGGTTAGGAAGGGCCGCCTCGCCAGTGCCAATGCTGCTCCTGTCTCCTCCATCTGCGCCTATATCCAGACAGACAACCTGGATGCCTGTACCCAGATCCTGGTGTGGATTTGCAGAGACTGTGGCCTGCATTTCCCACTCTCAGAAAGCCAGGCTGTGGAGACCATCCAGTGTGAAAGGTGCCTGCTGGTGGAATCTCTCAGGAAGCAGGTGGGGGAGCTACAGGAGGAGGTGGCTAGGCTGAGAAGCATCCGTGCCTACGAGGAATTCCTTGAGTGTATTCATATGGAGACATCCAAGGCTGAGGATGCTATCCAGCTAGAGAGGACTGCTGTCATGGCACCAGAGGAGGAAGATATGGCTCTGTCACAGGGAGGACACTGGCTGCTGGTTACTTCTGGCAGCAGGCAGTGCTCCACCCCTACTCCCAACCCACCCACCATGGTAATGGAAAACGGATATGCCGCCCTGGCAATGAGAGATGAGGAATCACCCTCACAGGTGGAGGAGGAGAAGCCATGTACCCCCAAGGCTGGGAGCATTGCAGCCTCCACTCCCAGGAGGAGACGTAGGGTAGTGGTGGTTGGTGACTCTTCTGAGGGGGATGGAGGCACCCATCTGTCGCCCTGACATGGCATCCCGGGAGGTATGCTGCCTCAAATCAGTATCTTAGATGTCTGTATACTAATGGGAAAAGTATCAGGAAAAGCTTAAAATGCTAGCAAGTAAACACAACTGTGACATAGTTGGCATCACAGAGACTTGGTAGGATAATATGCATGACTGGAATATTAATATAGAAGGGTACATATTGCTCAGGAAGGACAGGCAGGGGAAAAAAGGGAGGTGG